CAGGGCTGCGCGTCTTGGTCGTCTCGGTTCTTTGTTGGTCTATGCCAAAATGTAATCGACAAAAGGAGCTGCTTGAAGCTCTGTACTTTTTTCACCTACTACATCTAAGCTGATTACATTTTTTTGTGATTGTATTTCTATCACATTACTAGAGCCTCCCACACTAACTCCCGAGTGTGCAATGCAAAATTATAATGAGATACCCAGAAACCCGTTGCAGGAGCCCTGAAGTCGCTGACGCAGATTTTGAGGAATGTATTTGGAAAAGTATTTGGAGGAGACCAAATACATTTGGTTGTATTTGTATCTTGTATTTAAATACTTTTTTGGAAATGTAATTCGATTTGTAATTAAATACATTTTTGACGAAGTATTTTGTATTTGTATTTCGATACATATTTGCATGTATTTTGCCCATCCCTGATATCTACTAATAATAATAAAACAATACCTTAAACGTGACAAAGCGATGTATCTATATAAAAAAAAAGATGGACAATTCTCTGACAAATTGTAATATAAACTCTTTTTCTAATAGGAGGTGAGGCGCGTGTACCACACCTATTTACCTCGGCCACGTATGTGGCTCGGCTACCTCACTTATCTGGCATTATTGCGGTGCACCAAAAACACTCTACTTTCCTGTCACTTCCCGTAAACTGAATACGCCACTTTGATAATATAAATTGGCTTAGGGCATTCCATCAATTAGGGGAACAACATATCAACTGCTTTAAAGGAACCTTGCTACGATGTTGGGTAGGAGTGTTTCTCACTTTACACGAATTTACTGGCACTACTGGGACCAAAGTACACTAGCACGCAACGCCACCTACCAGGAAGTTTGTTTCTCGGCACGTGATTTTAAGGATAAAAGTAGACACTTTCTTTGTCTCTCCTTCGCAAAATATGACGACGAACTTGTGGGGATCGCACTGTTGGCGCTGTCAACAATGCGATCAACAATGAAATCATCAATATTCGCGATACTCGCGGTGACCATATTTAAATGTGACTGATACAGTGGGCACGAGCACTACGTGAGCTTTCAATTTAGGTTCGTGACGATCGATTCCTCGACATGCATTCGGGTAATGGATTGTGCTCAATCGCTGCGATGACGAGAGTAGCCGAACCTTAACAATATGTGAAACTCGGAGCGTGCCATGTGCTTTGCCAACCACAGCGTGTGTTTATGATAAACACTGTCAGCATATAATCGGCTCCAAATCACGGAGCAGCTTGTTCTGGCTGCGAGTTGTGAGGATGAACGCTGCTCGATTTTCTCGATTTTCTTTTCCTCCCCTGCCATTGAGTAGAAAAAAAAAATAACGCGCGTTTTATAGGTTTTGTTTATGAATGTCAAGTAATAATTTGTAGAGGTATTTACTGAAAGTACAAAAGTTATTGCATCTCCTTTTTTAAGACCCATGTACACAGTTCAGTTCGAGTGCATTGAATAGTGTTTGACTGCGTTACGCTGAGAAATGACCGCGAGTGTCCGGGTTACCCGTGTTTCGTTTGAAGTGTGGCAACGAATTCAAGGAGCAGCTTGGCACGCGGCATACGAAGCATGGACGTCCTGGTTTTTAGCAGTCGCAACAAAGTCAAAAGCAATTAAACGTTCTCAAATGCAACTTTGTATGGGGCTTAAGCTTGTGACTCCTTTTTCTAGTTCACAGTTCCCTGTGGGGTGAGAGGGAGTGCTTACCCTTGCCCTTGATGAGATTAGCACTCCATCTCTCTTTCTACTTGGTGTTAATTTGACTGAGGTGGGTCGATGACTTCGGTTCATTAATCCTGTTATGTCTGTCTCGATGCCAGTCCAGTTGAAACACTTTTGGTTGAGCCAAGTCACCCACCTGGTTTGACACCGGACGAATCCGGTCAACGCCGACGCAGCACGCGTGACATGTTCGCTTCGTCGTTGCCACTTTATGCCTAATTCACTTTATGCAAGTTTGCTTTTCGATTGTGGGCTTCTTGAGATCAGTCTAATTTAACGTTTTGTTCCCAGTGACACGACTGCATGGCGTTTCATTTTTGTTTGCACATTCTTTCCTTTCGCTCGTAATTATTTTTCTCACTATTTCATTTTGCTTTTTTTGTGTTTATTTTATTTCTATTAATTGAAGATCGTTCAAGTGATACATACCTGCCGATATTCCGCTGGAGGCAAACCGAGCTGCTGGAAGCCTGGCAAATTTGGGGGCATCAAAATTCAACTATCGTGCGAGGCCCACAGCGTGGAGGAGGAAGCGCGAACGTACCTACCCCGGTTCGCTGATCTTGACACCGAACTTGGAACTTACTTAGTCTTATTTCATATAGACAATTGAAAGCATGGCGCCTCACTGGTGCCTCATCCGTGCTAGCATGTACAGCGTGCGCGTGAACGTACACTCTAAGAAATGCCTACGCGTCTACTTACCCGCAATACACCCTAAGTGCCAATCTCTGCGATCTACGAAACCAGCTCAGTGGTTGATGAGGCGGAACATCTGTTTAGAGCTCAAAATTAAGACTGCGCTGTGATATTACGCAATGCAAGCATGACGCTTTGCATTGCGTAATGCCACAGTGCAACTTCATTTTTAGGTCTAAACGGATGTTCCGCCTCATCATTCGCTGTGCAGATTTCCTAGATCGCAGAGATTGGCTTTGTGAGTGTTTTGCGGGTAAGTGGACGCATCGGCATTTCTTAGAGTGTAGCATTGCCAAGCTTGTAAATGAACGCACTTGCCAGCACGAGCAGAGACCAGACGCCTTGCTTGCGATCGTCCATACAAATGGCTGGAGTGGTCTTCATTTGCACACTAAATAAAACAATTGTCCCAGAGTACCTAGTTGACATGTCCCCTCACCCCCCCCCCCCCCCCCCCCCTCCCCTTTAAAGATTGTCGTCTACAATGTAAAATCGCCGACAAAACACATTCGAAACCTACGGAAGCTACACTTTAAAAAAAGCTGTGCGTTTACCTTCCCGCACAAAACTCGGAGAGCCAATCACCGCAACTTGCGAGGGCAGCTCAGCGAATGAAGATGCCGAAACAAATGTTTCGACCAAAAAACGCGGTTTGAGTTGTGACATTAAGCAATGCAATCATGACGTTTTGCATTGCTTAATGTCACAACTCAGACTGCATTTTTTGGTCTAAACATATGTTTCGGCATCGTCATTCACTGAGCTGCCTCCGTAAGTTGTGGTATTCGGCTCTCCACGTGTTATGTGGGAAAGTAGACGCACAGGATTTGTTTTGGAGTTTATGTGGACTGATTAATTTAAATCGAGTCAGAGCCGCCGATTTGTAACTTTGCACTTTGATCAGTGTAGCTATCCCATTGGCCAAAAACACATCAGACCATAAGAGAACGGATTTGTTTTGCCCAAAAATGGGTAACGGTATAAGGTATACCTCTAAACAGAAAGAGCACACTTTATACTTATGATGGGTAAACACTATATAGTCACTGGCGGCATGACAAACCCAGGACGAGGCCTATTATGTCCTCGCTTCATGATTGGCTCTTTGGCGCAATCGGCTACTGGCGCAATCTGATTGGATGCGGAGTGATATTAAGATGCAAGGAACTCGCCACGCCCTGCGCTTCCTAAAGGGGCACTGACACCCAAAAGGTCGTATCTTTTTTTGTCGCCCTAAACGATGCAAATTGCATTTATAGACGCGCAAAACAATACCGCAAAGGAAAAAAAAAAAGATTTTCACGCGCGCGCGCGTCTTTTTACTTTTGGCGTTTCTATTCTGCTTTTCACCTTCTCGCTTCTTCTGATTTCTGATGTCGAATTACATAAAATTTATACCCGTGCCACACGGGCAACTCGAATTCCATTTACAATGAATGAGATGTGTGTGATCGGCGAATCAGCTCGCGATCTGTCGCACGTGAAATGCGCTACACCGGGAGTGTCGCGCGCTGATTGGCCGTCCGCTCAAATGTCAATCGTTGTAAATGGCATTCGAGTTGCCCGTGTAGCACGGGTATTAGAAGCTTTGTAGACTGCATTTCTGTAGCATTGATTAACGGCAATCGTAAAACATGTTTTTTAACAATATTGCGAACGCACTGCGGCCCTTCTTTTTGAAATACCGAAAATCAGAGTCCGGTGTGATGTCGCCTCCTGTCATTTCATCGTCCCTCTGAAAACATGGCGGCGCTCGACGCATATAGCACAGGATGATCGGTGAGTCGGAGAATCAGACGAAGTGGTCTTTTTAAGGTGCCCGACGACCTCTCAGACTTCGAAAAGGAAATTGTCAAGCGGTCAATACCACTGGGTTTGGTGTTTATGTACCGTAGTTTCGGTTGTGACTCCGACGGGGCAACCTTCCACGCAGAAGCGGCGCGACATGGCCCCTCACATTGCTCACAAAAGTCCCCTATACGCGTTCCCTTCGATCTCGCACCGTTTAAAAAAAATTGGAGATTGCTGAAAGGGCCCTAAAAGTACTTCAAACTCGAAAGTCAAGCGTCGTCTGCTCGCAGCCGGTTGTTTGCGAAACGCCGGCGAACACGATACTTCGAAGTCGTCAGAAACACTCGACTCGCAGGACGGCTCAATATTTGACGTCACTGCACTGGCGCGGATCGCGCGGGAACTTCAAATTTGGCATTTGGAAATTCGCTTACTTCTCAAATACTGAATTCCCAAGTTTCGAATTTCGAGGGTAACGAATAATACTAATAATAATAAAAATGATTTTGACGTGTCAGCGCCTTCTTAAGCTGTCGGTGATTTTTAAGGCTCCGTTATACTTCGGCGTTGAGCGCAGCGAACATAGCGTGGCGTAGAACGTGGCCGGCGAGCAGACTCTCGAAATTTGCGACCAATAGGAAACTCTGTACGCCACGCCGCGTTTGCAACGCTCGACGTCGGAGTGTAACAGGCCCTTTAGTGTCGGTCATATTCAGAAACTGCGGAGAAGCCCATTTATCTAATGGCAGTTCTACGCACGTCTGCTGCGCCGATGGACTCGCAGGCATGAACGTGAGGATCAATACTAGCCTGACGTCGGTCGAGCTGAGCTGGACGCTGCGCCACGGCGTGGTGGAAGAGCTGCTCGTCAGCCTCTGCGAGCCGTACCAGCTGCCGGAGACGTGCGAGCAGCGGCGGCTGAGCAGCGACGTCCGCCGCCTGCTCCTGGACAAGCTGAAGCCCAAGCGGACCTACGACGTTCGCTTCTTCCGCTTCCCGGCCATGGAGCTCATTATTCGGAAACGCTTCGCCACCGGACAGCAGGGTGCGACCGTGGGATACTTTTTTAACGCGGAATGTGGTTAACACAAAATGAGCCTCGTTAGAGTGTAATGAAAAACCGTTACACACGGGTCAAGGCCAGATAACGCATGCATAGCCAATAGCAGGCAATGAATAAGCATACATAGCGTACCGAAGGCTTACTTGGTCATAATTAGTCGTAACTGGGAAGATCTATTAAGCGTCGCCGCGGGAATCGAACGTCGGACTGTCTGATTCTCAGCCCGACTCCTTTGCTCGGCACCACGAGGAAAGGGCGAACGGGAGCGCAAGCTGCTCGACTAACTGGCAGAACCAGCTGCGGGCAGCTGGCACTCGAATGACAAAACCCACGTGATCTCACAACAATATGGGGCAGGCGACGTCATTCACTAACAGATAGTGCGGCCAGCTTATGACGTCACAACTTCGCGCATCGGCACATGGACAGCACATCGGGTTGAGCGGGCTCGATAATCCTCCTCCTCCTCGCGATAACGCATCACGAAAATGGCTGACGTTACACCTCCACACGATAGATTACAATAAGCGCTCCCAGAGCCTGTAGAAAAAAAAGGTGAAATTTTGTTTTGTTTTAATGCAGTGTAATATTTTGGGGGGAAATTCACCAAGCGCAACAGCCCGTGCATATATTCGTACACAATGAATACGCTTATTGAAAAACTAGATGACTTCAAAAACGACTATTATTGTTTGTCTATGAATTGCAAAAAAAATGCGTCATGAGACTCACGACGCAGCTCACTGTGAATATGACGATGCAAAATTTGAGTCAGCACTTTATTTATGAATGGTTTACGACGCAACCATTGACGTTAGCGTGACTTCAGCGCGCAACTTTGAAATTGTGTGATTGCTTCGTTTAGGTGTAATCGTTTAGTGTTCAAGTGGTTTCCCTACCATCATTGCAGCTTCGTGTGTGTGTCCTGTCCTGTCTCTGTACCATCGTTCAATGTTTAAGCTGTTTCACCACCATCATTGACTATGTAGCAACTAGCTCAACTCAAGCCGATAATTTCTTCGTAGCTTGGGCGCAAATGTGAATGTGCGCGTGCAGCCGCTTCATGTATGCGCGCCGCGTGTTTATCTGCTTGCGCCGCAGCTATGAGTGATTGCTTCGTAGTTTGGGGGCATGTGTGAACGAGTGCGTTCAGCCGCTCCGTGTATGCGCTGCGGGGGTTAAACGGCTTTCTAAAACAACGTCGAGGACGGCGTCCTAGAGGGCGACGTCAAAGGTGACGCCTATGACGACCTCTAGGACAACCTCTAAAACGATCTCAACGACGACCTCTAGGATGAGCTCAAGAACGGCCTCTAGGACGACCTCTAGGGCGATCTTGAGGACAACCTCTAGGACGACTTCTAAGGCGACCTGAAGGGCGACGTGAAGTGGGACCGGACATTTCATTGAGCGCCGTTTCGTCGAACGCCGTTTGATCGAAGCCGTTTCATCGAATGCCGTTTCATTGAATGCCGTTTCATCGAACACCGTTTCATCGAAGCCGTTTCATCGAACGCCGTTTTATCGAACGCCGTTTTATCGAACGCCAGGGTAACATTCCCGCTTCCTGAAGCTGGTCGGAAGTGCCCATCCTAGGTTCTGGAAGTTTTTGACTTGCATCGCCGCAGAACATCAACTGACGGAAGACAAGCTGGAAGCGATGCTGAATTCGCAAGAGCCTCCTCGCCAGAAGGAGGCCATAGCGGCAAGAAATTAGAAGGTTCGCCATTTTTATGAGAACCGACGGAGCATGGCTGTGGGGGTTTTTGAGAGCAATTGCTCATCATTTGAAATGGTGAGTGGCTGTCGCACGAACACGTGAACCCCCGAAATCTTCCAAATAAAATTTGAAGTGACGTACTTAATTTTGGCTTCATTGAGTCTTAGAACTAAAAAAACTATGTTTCGTTGTAGTTTCATATATAGCACCTCAGCTTTAGCTAATGCAAGCTTCGGGCAGTAAAAAAGTATCAATAGAAAGACATGAGAGGCTAAGAGGCTCACATGGCTAAAGTTGTTGCGCCTGCGCAAAACCTAAGTCGCCTTCTGGCCTCCATGAGTTGGAGTGCGCTCTCACCGGGAGTGTGACTTTTTATTTATTTGTTACAACAGCCTTAAGGACCATCGGGTAATACAGAGGGGGTGAACAGACAAGCACAATATGCGAAACAAACATAAAAATCGGTACAAATATTCCCATGGGTTACTTGCATCAAAATAAATTGTAACAGCTACAAGTTTGGACATTAAAACAACTTGACGGTAAAATGGGTGAACGACCCGAAAATGCACTCGATCCGCGCATAAAAGAGCATCTTTCACACTCTTCATATAAAAGACATTCGATGAATCGGCCGTCAGCAATTTGATGACAAGGCGTTCGATAAAACGGCGTTCGTTGAAGCGTCCATTTTTTCGATGAAACGGCGTTCGACGAAACGGCGTTCGATAAAATGTCCGGGAACCGACGTGAAGGACGACGTCCTAGAGGATGGGTAACCGGACAAAAGCTCACCGGACAAAAGCTCAACGGACAGAAGCTCACCGGACAAAAGCTCACCGGACGAAAGCTCACCCGTTTTTTCACAGACCCGGACAAAAGCTCACCTGATTTTTTTTCGCTACCCGGGCGAAACACGGGCTGAACTAAAATGCGGACGCGATGAACATTGCACCATTTTTAGGTGAACTTGTGCCTCATCCCACGCAAGGGTTTACTACGGTTGATCGAATGCCATTTCGTCGAAACATTTTTTAAAGAACGGGCACGTTTTATTGAAGTCCAATTTAGAGAAAGCAGAGCCTCAGTTTAGAGATATGCCGTTTATCGAAAAGGGGACGCTATTTAAAAAAGACTTTTCTACTTCACGCGTGTATCACTGGTGCGCGTGTTAACCCAAGCCCCCTGCTGCGCTCCCGCCGCTTCGCGGCGGCAGTCTGCGGCGGCTCCTTACAAAAATGTTAACTCACCTGACTTATCCGTACACGCCGCTTCGCGGTGGCCGAATTCGCTAAAAGGAGGCTTATCGCCTTTTTTTACTAAACTTGGTTTCTCTGTAAGACCAACATGAAATTTTCTCTTGGTGAGCTTTTGTCCGGGTCTGTTAAAAAATGGGTGAGCTTTTGTCCGGTGAGCTTTTGTCCGGGATTCAGAGGATGACGTCAAAGACGACGTTTAGAACAACCCTTAGGTGACATCTAGGGAGATCTCAAGGACGACCTTTAGGACGACCTCAATAACAACGTTTAGGACGAATTCTAGGACTACCTCAAGGACGACCTCTAAGACGACGTCGAGGAAGACTTCCGCATACGCGCGGTGCCTGCGTATGCGGACGTCGTGCGATGCGGACTTCTTGTGTATGTGGAGCAGACTTGTGCCTATCTCAAATACTCTACTCAAGATACTGTATTTCAAATACTTTTTGAAGTTTCTTGGTATCTTGCAAATACTTTTGATCTAAAGTATTTGATACTCTATTTTAATTACATTTCCGAGTATCTTGTACTCGTTATCTCAAATACATTTTTGACATTCCGCTATTTTCCGACTTTTTCGGTATGAAGCAGCGTGGGCGTGGCACGAGTAAACGGGAACAATCTTTCGAGTAACCAAATACTGTTGCTAGCTCCAATTAGCTACGGTGACTTTGATTAAGCTCGGGAAAGCATCGCTGTTTTGCCGATTGTGATTCATATTTCAGCCCAAAGTTCATACTATGAAGGTTTTCCCCTCGCCTTCCCAAAGGTGCCTTTTGCTTCCTAGAGTTTCCCCCAAAAATCCTCAAACAAAAGGGGTGTTTTTACGGAAGTAAAAATTGCCACACTGGAGGCGCGACGCAGACCGGGAAACGACCTACGACAACAATGGAGACTTGAGTGTCAAGAAAATAATACAAAAGAATGATAGGTGGACAAAAAAAAAATGTTTTGCTTTTTGTATATTTGACCCTGCTATGGCAAAGTTTTCTGTTGTCTATTTTCTTTTTGTGGTCCGTCCGTCACTTATTTCTGTCGCGAACACTGTCTGTAAGCGAACATTGATAAGCAGAGAACAGGACAGGAAACGGACAACGAGCAGGATGACCTCTCAAAATGCCAACAAAGCTTTCCTCAACGTTGAGTGTCTTTCTGAACAACACCTACTTGAAGAAGTGTGCGACCACTGCCGCGGCTATTTTGTGGGTTCTCTTTGTCATCTATTCACCCATTTCCGTACCCCAAATTAGCTTATGATTGTAGTTAAACGATCCGTCTAAGGTGCGTCGCAGGACGTGATATTCAGTGATGTCACTACTTGCGAGGAGCATCTGACCCGTTTGTTGCCCCAACAGCTCGGTGTACACCTAACACAAGGCCTTTGCACATGCCCACAGGCCTTGTGGGCATGTTCATGTCATCTTCTTTAATAGAGCGCGGGGCACAGTGTAATGAAGAAAAATACTAACAATAAACGAAGAGACGTAAGGTGCCGGATCTCTTCCGAAAGCAGTCGTCAGAGGATGCGAACTTGACCCACTTGGGCTTTTGTGCCGAGCTGGGCACCTTGCATGCTGCATTGTTCATGCAGGCCGGAGTGGTAACAAAAAAAGACCTTCTTCCCAATCACTGGAGAACACGAACTCTGAAACGCCGCGTTCGGTTATGTCAGCCGAGCGCTGAATCATTCTGTTTGTTGTCTCCATCCGGTGTAGTCCTTAAGTTAACCATCTGGGGCGCCACGGTCTGATCTCCTCACCTTGTTGTCTAAAAAATGTTTTGTATCACATGTCGGTGATATTGTCACGCGCGTTGCCGACTGGTTACCGCGCTTGGATCTCGCGCGGAGGCTCCGGGTTCGATTCCAGGGAGCGGACTTCTTTTTTTTTTTTATTTCTCAACTTGGCATTTTCGTTACTTCGAAAACCTAATCGTCTGATCGAGTTACGATAGTTCTACGCGCCGAACATTCTAAGCCAAATATTCCAAAAACCCGCTCGGGTACAAAAGGTACCCGAGTAGCGGTCATTAGTCACTCTCGCCC